CACACACAACCACACGCGCACACACCCACCTACCTACCCACCCACCCACACTCGCAAACACACACACACACACACACACACACACACACACACACACACACACACACACACACACACACACACACACACACACACACACACACACACACACACACACACACACACACACACACACACACACACACACACACACACCCACCCACACACCCACCCACCCACCCACCCACCCACCCACCCACCCACCCACCCACGCACGCACGCACGCACGCACGCACGCACGCACGCACGCACGCACGCACGCACCCACACACACACACAGACGCACGCACCCGCACAATGGCCAAAACCGTAAAGGGAAGCACAACAGAGGGGGAAAAATCACAAGATAGAAAGACCACAAGGGGAACAACGCACAGGAAACATACACGAAGGGAAACATACACACACACACACACCAAACGGAAACACACACACACAAACACAAAGGAAAATTGCAAAGGAAACAACACACACACACAAAGGGAACACACACAGAGCAAGATGTGTCTGTGTTCTCAAACGCATTGGTGTTCTGAATATCTGGTTGCTTTGAGCAAACAAACAAACAAACAGCGGCCTCCCAGTGAGGGGGGAAACCTGACTAGTTGACATTGGACGGTGGTTGTTTAGTCACCCAACAAAACGAGCTCATCTTAGATCATACCCCTTGACAGAGTCCCGAGGAACTGCAAACAATCGCCGGCTTGCAAACCGCAACAATGAAAACTTGTCCGGTTGATCGGAAGGCTGCTTAGGTTTCGGTATCGTGAAGATGTGTGTTTGTTAGTACTATATATTACTATACCAAGACCCCGCGACGGATATTGGTTTCTTATGTGACCTCCTTTGGGCTATTTTGATGGAAATCCATTGGGGGGGCCTGGTAGCGTTCACATGCACATGAAGTCTAAGCGAGCTCCATGCTTTGTTTTTGAGCTTGGGTGCCGCTGGATGTTGAAGGCAAGCTCCCAAGGCAGAAACATGTTTTGGTCGGCTTCAAAGAGGAAAAACACGGGCATCCTTTTTGTCAGGGTATCAAAGAGCAACCAAAGAAAACCAACCATGTTTACGAATGCATTTCAGCACCCCTGTTTTTGGGTATGAAGGGCAACCGAAGGAGATCAGCCACACTTACTGCTCTTACGATTGTGTATTGAGGGATCCCGTGTTTGGTACATTAAAGCGCAACCAAGGAAGCATGCTTCGTTTTTCCAATAGTTTTGTGTTGGGCGGGGGAGGGGAAGGTTGTTTTTTTGGTTGGGGGAGGGGGAGAAAACAAACCTTTCCTGTGGGCTCCCTGAATTTGGGACCCTATTTTTTCGACTACCCAACCAGTTTTTTTGTTTTTGGATTTTATTTTTGGAGAGTATAAACCAACATGCAAAATGGGTTGTGGTCAAAGAGCAGGATGGGGGTTGGAAGAACTTTCAATGAAGCCCTTGGTGGACATCATTTAGGTGGGCTAAAACGGCCCACCAACAAGGTTCCCCATTTAAACTCGTGGCCATATTTTGAGATACACCAAACCCGGTAATTCCATTTCCGGGCTAGAAATCAAGGGAAACACACCCTTAAATGACAAATGGCGAAGGGTTACCTACTATACTGGTAATGTGGACCGCAGATGAATTAACCCATCCAATTGATAGGGGAGTGTTTCCTCCAAATTGATGAATTCACGGGCACAACCCCCCCACTACTCAAGTCGAGTTGATCAATGCGGGGTTCCCATTTACCTTGCTGGTGCTCTAGGCAGGGAATTTGGAAATGGAATGACCCCTAAACCATCCGCTATGGCTTCCCTCAGTCCCTCAATCCCTATCGCAGCAAGTTTTGTGCAGTACCGGCCAACTCTTGGGATCCTTGGAGCCGTGTACTCAAGTCACTTGCGCTCAAAAAACCCGGTAGTAAAATGGTCGTAATTTTAGAGCCAGGCTTCAAGAATTCAGAAGGCGGATATCCGCAACTATATCTGGCGACTGCCCCTTACTAACCTTCAATCCCCAGGTGTTGATGGTGGCTCACTTGGAAACCTTTGACTAGGCCCTCCAGTAGAGAGGTTTTTCTGTAGTCTATTTAGTAGGGGAACCCTCCCAACCAAAAAAAATGCTGAACCCTCCCAACCAACAAAGAAATGGTGAGGGGTCGGGCACCAATTGCTGGGGGACCTAGTTGAGTGTAACTGGAAATTCATTTGGCTGTGGCTCAAAAATCGGTACCAAAATGGGTTGCCCTGATAAGTGGGTTAGCATGGACCAAAACCTGCGGTTTGCCCCTCCGATCGTTTCATTTTGAGCCACACCCAAATCCACTTCTGGGATACACAACGGGCTTCCCAAACACAAACCCCCCATACTTCACTTGCTGAGTGGATGGCCCAAAAAAAGTTCAAACTTTATATTTGCCACTAAACTGGTCTTCCCAAAAAGTTTAAAGTCCATCAACTCAGGAAGTGAGACTAACCCCCCATACCATTTGGAAATCAAATGCCCGCCATGTGGAAACCTTTGAGACAGCTCACCTCCGTGAGCCAGGGCTTCGCCCGTGACGATGGTGTCTGTGGAGCTTCCCACCGTCACCTCGACCGACGGTGACGACGGGGAAACGGAAGCGACCGACCAGTCACTTGGTGTAAACGATGGATTTCCACCTCCAAGATTGACACTCAGTTGTTCGGTGACCCTGGAAAAAAAGGGGAATTTCTTCTTGGGGCTTGGGCCGTTTTTAGTGGGGCAGCCACCAAAAAAAAGGAAAAGAATTGGTGCCACTGAACCACTGAGAACATGGAAGCTGCCCAAGCCAAAGAACCAGTCTCAGGTTCAAAGGAAACTCCTTTTGGGGGACCCCCTTTTCGGGCTCTGTGTTGTCTTGGAAGGGGGTAAACCACTGTTGTCTAATTCAAGACCCCATGTTGGAGTCTCTTTGCAGGGAACCAGATTCTGGTTGTTGAAACAAGCTTTGCCCAACCCTAAAACCTTGTCACAAGATTTCAAAGTCAGCCGCTGGAACAGCAAAAGCCTTCCTTGCTGAATCCAGCAAATGTCTTTTCACCATCTCTTGGGGTCTCGTCAGTCCGACATTCCCATGTCTAGCAACGCCAAATTGACCATAATAGAGAGTTTTCTGACAACATATCACTAAATGCGGGTGTCTTGTTTTGAGGGCACCGCTTTTTGGCAGGTTTTAAAGGGACACCTGAAGGAAACAACCGCCATTTCGGGGGGTCGACCCCAAAAAAAAACAACAGGCGCCGCTTCTTTGGTGGCTTTTAAAGGGAAGCCCCAAAAAAAGCCAGGTTTGAGGGGTGAAACAAAAACAAAGACATCTCCTGCAAGGGCTCGGCCTCAATGGCTTCCCCGCATCTCTCGCCGCGGCTTTGGGGCCCGGGCCGAGACGGTGTCGCTGGCGAGGCAGCCGCGCTCGCTGCAGGCGGAGAGGTCCGCGCTCAACACCCCAGCCTTGGGAGAGCGATCACCGGCTTTGTGAAGAGAGCTTCGCTAGGGGATCTTGTGAGACCACAGAACAATCGAAAAAGGCGAGTTGGGCTCGTTAAAGGAGAGTTCCGTGTCGTTTGAGTGCCTTTGCTTTCGACTGGAGAGAGTCCTCCTTTTTGGATTGAACGAGAGACTTGAGGGCCCCAGCTTCCCAGGGACAAAGGCCCGCACGACGACTCGAGAACCAAAAGGTGACCCCACTTTCTTGGAGCTCATTAACGCAACCTCAAGGCGGTGGCCCTCGGAAAAAAAGAAGAAGCTTGTGCTTGATATATGATATATGTGTCAATGGGTCAAACCCACAAAGGGACCTTCAGGAAAGCAGCGCCAGTTGGGAAACCCAGACCAGTCTCGAGAGTGGCCAATTGGAATGTCCTACAATGGACCCTCAGACTACGGTTCAATATGGGATATTACTCAGTGAGATTTAGACAAAAAGTTGAATCTTATGGGCGGGGCTTGGTAAACACAGGTGGAACCCAAATGTCCGGCGGTGAACCTTTCTGAACATCAGGCAGGATGCCGACTGAACCTTTTAGGTCCGATGCCCTCAGCCCTTTGCAGGAGACCCGGTGGTTGTCGTTTGAGGGGTTCTCAACATCGTCTTTTTGGGGTCTGACACCACTTCACACCACCGGATTTCGATCGTGTGAGGATCTGAACTATAATATTTCACCAACCCGAAATAAGGTGGTTGGGGGGCTACTCTCCACATAAACCACCATTTGGGGTGAGGTCGTGTGAGGTCGTTCTGATTCACCCAAAAGGATGTAGCTTTACCGGACCCAGATTTGGGGGAAGGTAAACTCTGAGCTTTGAGCCTCTCGAAAAATATTTATTTTGATTGATTTCAATCTGGATGTTTGACTGGCTCTTTATGTATTAAAACAGGGATCCTTACATTATACACCTGAACATTGCCTTGTAAATGGTGGTGTCCCCTTATTTGGGTACGGAAAAAGCCACATGTTTCAAGTGGCTGCAAAATAATATCTCTAAACAAAAGATGTTTGACTACTGGTTCTTCATGTATTAAAACTGCCGACTGTTTTTTTCAGTCTTGTCCCCATTTCAAAAGCTTATTGGCCTGCACCCATCTAAGCCTGAGGCTGGCTTCCCATTTCATCCACCAATCCATGCGAGAGCTTCAAACGTGGATGCTTAGCCAAGGTTCCAGCATCTGGGTCTTGGATTAACCGAACATAAGCATACACATGTGGTTTTCCTTTGCTTGCTGGTGCTCAGGAGAGGAATGAGAAATGGAATGCATCCAACTGGTGGTTTCCTTTATTAGGGGACCAAAGCAACTGGCTTCATTCCATTTCTCATTCCCTACCGACTTCGCGATCGCAAGTTTGGTCAGGTCATGTTTGCAACAAACTTGCTGGTGATATCATGATGTCACGTTTGGTCTGGGAAAGGTCTCATTCCCTACCTAGGTCCTCCAATAGAGAGGTTAGAATAACTGTACCGTTCTCTTTTCTCTGTAGTCTATTTTAGTAGGGGAACCCTCCCAACCCAAAAAGAAATGGTGAGAGGTCGGGCACCAATTGCTGGGGGACCTACTGAGCACCGAGCTTCGTGTTTGTTTGTGCAACAAACAACCAGGGAGCCCAGGCCCGGTTCTGCTCCCTTTGGTTCCCGGGCAGTGCAGGTCACCGAGAAGCTGCCCTCATAGCCCGAGTGCAAACCAGAGCACGCGCGGCTGTACCTCGCGAGGCTCCGAGCTCCGAGCGAGTCAGAGCTCTGGGGCTTGATTCCGCGAGTCAAACCTGTCCGGGCCGTGAAAAACATATAAGCATTCGAGCCCATTTCGGGTGCTTCCGCCGGGTAATCTTGGAAATGTTGGGAGCCCGATTGTTTTTTCTAGGGGCTGATTCCAACCATTCTTTTCAACCATCGTTAAAGACCGGCCGTTTTCCCTGGGTTTCCGGAGGTTTTTCTAGAAAGAAGGATCCCTGGAAAGAATGGAAGGTACCCCTAGAAAAGCAGGAATTTCAAGCCTGAGCGACCTGGGCGTGGTTGTCGAAAATTGTTGGTAACCCAAACTGGAACCCTTGCTTGTCAAAACTAGTTGGTAATAGCCCAAAATGGGTTGCATTTCCTGGCAAATGGTCGCAAGGACTAAAGGCTTTGTGGTTTCCTAACCAACGGAGTCTCCAACTGTTTGGACTCGTGGCAAAATGGGTTCAAACAAATGGGTTCAATTGGATGCGCGCGTTGTGCAATGCAAGCTGAACCGGTCCCAAATAAACTGCCCTCATTTTCTGTCCAACCTTCCACCCTTGCTTCTGCCCTCTCATTTCTGCGGGGAATCAGATCAACACCAAATTCACCAACACGTGACCTAGAAAGACTGGGCTGGCTTTCCTATGAGCATTCGGCTCATAGATGCCAACAACACCTGGCCCTTTTCCAGGACCAAGGAAGGAACCCGCATGATTCGAGGTCGATCTGTTAGTTCTTGCTTTTGCCCAGGCATCGGGGAGAAAACAAATCCGCCGCAGGCATCAATGGAAAAGGGGGGGTAATTGCCCCAAAGTGAAAGTGGGTTGCTACAAGCTAACATGGGGGAAACATTAGATGGAACCCCCAAACCCTTTGTTTTCAGAGGAATCTCCCTTAGAAGGGCTCGTTTTTAAGCTGGGTTCCACGTGAACTCATAGTGGAGCAACAGGACCCGTTCAGCGCTCGCCAAGCATCAAGATACTCGGTGCCAGTTCAAGCTGCAGGAGAGTGCCCCCCCTCCCCCTGTTTAAACCATGGTTGCAACATCCCTTCTCCCCTTTCAAACGGAAACCCGAAGGAATTGTCGCCATGTTTCGGGGTATGGCGACCCCCCCCCCTTCCAGCCCCCGCTCTGAATCCGAGGCAACAACTCGGTGGAGCCGCTCACCAGCTTGCTGCTGGGATTCACCTCGGCGAAGCCAACCCCAGCGTTACTCGGTCGCCGTATCTCACTTTGGTCGAGCAAAAGCCCGGGGAAAAGTTCTGCACTCCGCTTGAGCCGGGTGTCTTGTTTGTCAAGATAGGGATCGGTCTCCTTGAATTGTTGATTTGTGGTTCCTTCATTTATCGTGGAGGGATTTAAATGTATTCCGAGAATGTTCAACCTCGAGGGAACCTTTGCTTATGCTCCAAAAGGTGAAACGCCCACATTGTGTCGTGCATCCAAAAGGTGAACAGGTGGAACACGGGAGATTCGCAAAACGGGATTCGGACATCCTTTTGGTTGGCAACGGGAGCCAATAGGAAACCAACAATTCTAGGACACCAATGCTCAGGTTAGCCTTAATTGGTGGATTGGTGGTTTGGGGTATCTGAGGCTAGTCACTAGATGGGACGCCACTAAGCACCCAACGGAACCGATCCAGCAAATGGGAAGCTGGAATTCCTGGAGGAACTGCCGAGAGAAATTCCTCAGCAACGTTCACCAAATCTACACACGCCGCTAATTCTGAGAGTGCTGCGGACGTCGTGGAGCCCAGGGTGACATCCACCGATTCCGCAGTGGTGCACGCTCTTTGGCAGGTGGACACGTCATAACCTTAGCACGCGCAAAGCAGTTGGAACACACCCAGCAAACAACCTTCGAGTAGGCTACAAAAGGCTAGATATTTGGAGGCCGGGCTTCACAACTAGGTCCTCCAGTAGCGAGGTTAGAGTAAGTTGGTACCAACTTTTTCTGTAGTCTATTTTAGTAGGGGAACCCTCCCCCAAAAAAGGGTAAAAGGGCACTACTCGGCGATTTAGACAAGGAATGCTGTGTCTGCGACTTCTGCACTTCTCGTTGCGGGTTGCAGTATGAGCTGCTCGGCCAGCTTGGAACTTTTCTCGGTTGCTTTCTGCTCCCCTGCTAAGAGTTCAACTTTTAGTGGTTTCATGGAAAACCCGCTAGTTGGCAAAAAGTTAAAGTCCTAACATCCAAGCAGAATGCACCAAAGTTTTCGCGACACAAACAAAATGATCAAAGTAACCTGTCCAACGAATCGGGAGACTGCCTGGTGGGCGCAAGTGAACGGAGTGAGGAAAGGCACAAAAATGAAAGCTTCGGGCTCTGAGGTTTGCAGTGGAAGGACCTTCTATGGCAGTCGCCACGTTTTTTTTTACAAGCACAATTCACGGTTCCCTCCCAACATCACCAAGAGGAAACTCACCCAACAGCCCAAAAGGCGAGATGCTGTTTGAATGACTACCGGGATTCTTCGCCCCAAATGAACCCCATCAGCAAACCAAAACCTGAGCTTCAATCCCGGCCCACGGCGACTGCTTGGTCAGCGCTTGGGGTTTTTGGAACAAAAAGCAGACGTTGGAGGTCAAAGAAAAGTCAGCTCGCGCATGTTCGCGCGAAAACTGAAGCCCCTACCCCTGTCCCACGTTCCTCAACACAGACTCACCGCCATCTGTGACATGTGAAGCATACCTGTTCTCCAGATACGTAGCAATGTTGAGGCGAAAGAGAACAAGACATGGTTGGGGGAGTAACCAGAATCCTGTGATACCAAAGTGAGCCATCCCTATGGCTACTTCGTCACGTTGAAGGGGATTCCCTTTCTAGAGAAAAGGGACCCTGAAACGCCAGCAGCAGCTCGCCGGCATACACAGCTTAACCCAGTCCTGCATCTCTTGGAATCAACAACAGTGTCCGAAAGCAGAATACTCTGTGAAAGTGTGCTTCTCGGGGACCAATGCAGGGTTGTGGACAAGTAACACTTGTTGGGATAGTAACTCTTTTTGTGATGCCAACGCAAAGGGGATTTGTGTGGGATCGCAGAAACTGGCCCAGAAGCCAAGTTGTATAGCTTCCCCGAGGTCCTGTTAGCTGCACGAATAGGTAATCTTGTGCCCAATGCGGACGCGCAACACAGAACTCAATTGTGTGCGTTCGGTTCAAACCATACCCTCATCCCCAGCAATCATGGAAGCTCACAGGGTTTTGGCAGACGCCTGTCATTTACAAATGGCCGCTGTCCATGCTAGTCAATTAGGAAAATTGCCATACTTGCAACAACTGCTTCTGAATTTGTCCGCGACACATAGGGCAGGAACTACACTCTTCCGGGGGGGGGAGCCCCCCGCAATAACAAACACCCTAAAATAACTCCACTTCCTCCGGCCGGACTTCCAGAACCACAGTTCCCTCCGGAGTTCTGCAGCATGTTCGCCCAATTTCCTCATATGGCTGTGGGTCAAAAATGGGTATCCGTTTTGGAAGCCTAGTAAACGGAACCAAAGACTAAAACCTGCGGTCCCCTGGTGCTTTAATTTTGACCCATACCCAAATGGCAAGGGGAATTATGTCAAAGGAGTTTGTCTGCAGGGATTGGACACCTACATGATCTTCCCTTGGAAGCTGGACAGAAGCAGGCAACTGCGACATGGACAGTTGTCGCTTGCTTCTAGCAGCTCGGTGCTCGCGAGGCCAGTCGTGTTGCAGCGCTTACCTGTTTTGGGTGCTGCAAGGAAGCAAAGATCATCAATGGTAGACCATTAGATCTTTGGGAGGGGTTCAAGGAACAAAGATCAGCTTGGATTGGATCAGATCAACTTGGATCAACTTGGATTGGATCAACTTGGATTGGATCAAGGAACAAAGATCAACCTCGATTGGACCCAGAAAACAGTCCAAACTGCTTGTTCACTTTTAAAATGGCCCAGCCCCAAAAAGCTTCAAGTCCAGTTTGAGTTTCGAATAAGTTGGTACCGTTTCTTTTTTCGGTTTTGTCTATTTTAGTAGGGGAACCCTCCCAACCAAAAAAGACACGGTGAGAGGTCGGGCACCTAGCCGGGGGACTAAAGCCACTCCGCTGGAATCCGAAAAACTCCGCCGGACTGAGCCGCTCCCCGCTCCGCTCTCCGCTCCCGAGCTGCCCGGCTGAGAACTCCCTGCAGGCAGCTCAAAGAGAACTCGCCACCCCAGGCCTCACGCTGCTTGGGTGACGAACCAAAATAGGCTCCAAAATGGGTGGTGAATTCACCTACCCCAAAATGGTACCATTGGTTTTGACCCACAGCCAAGTCAGTCAGTCAGTCAGTCAATCAGTAGCGCTGAGTCAGTCAGTCAGTCGGTCAGTCGGTCAGTCAGTCAGTCAATGAGTCAGTGAGTCAGTGAGTCAGTGAGTCAGTGAGTCAGTGAGTCAGTGAGTCAGTGAGTCAGTGAGTCAGTGAGTCAGTGAGTCAGTCAGCCAGCCAGTCAGGCAGTCAGTCAGTCAGTGAGCCGGTGAGTCGGTTTGGGTCGGTCGCTCGCTCGGTCACTTTGTGAGTCAGTGAGAAAATCTGTCACTTTCAAGGACGCATCTCAAACTTGCAAGAACTCATGTCATATGGCTGTGGGTCAAAACCCCGTACCCCCAGTGAACATCCCCACCAAAATAGGTTCTGAAATGGGTGGTGCACCCGCCCAAACGAACCCTGTTCGTCATCCATTTGTTTAAGAATATGGGTTGTATTTCCCCTGTTGGTTTTTAGAGGGAATTTATCACTACTGGCCACATTTTTAGTTTTTCTCAAGCGGCTTGAGCAATTGGAAGACATAGTTCGAAGGGTGCCAACTCAGGACACCTGTTCAAAAGGACCCAGTTGCCAGGATTTGGTTTCAAGTGCCCCTAACATGGGAGGACATCCAATGCAGGTGCTTCCAGGTCCACGGTAGACGTGGCTGAGGACCCCCCCCTTGTAAGGTGGACACTTCAGGTTCCTGTTGCGGGCTTCTGGGTATTGGTATTGGTGTTTGAGGTGTTTGGGGGTACACCATGATCTCGTATCAATGGCACCCATAATTTCCCCCCCTTCCCGGGCAACTTGGTTTGGTTGGTTGGTTGGTTGGCTGGCTGGCTGGCTGGTTGGCTCGTTGGCTGCTCAGTTAACTAGGTTGGTTGTTGATTGATTGGCTTGATTAGTTGGTAGATTGATTGGCTAAGGGCGACTGCACTCAAGCCCCGAAACCACAAGCCCCAAGCCGCCCAAGCCCCAGCTCGCATAGGAGCCTTTTGACCGCCCGCTTTTTGGTGGAGAAAGCTATCCAAAAGTGCACCGCCTCAACTGGATCTCTCTTCTCTCCGTGTATCAAAAGGCCCGTCTGTTGCAGGCTTCTCTTCTTGCCCTTGTTGGTTGACAACTTGGGCTTCGCACCGTCGCACCTACCGCTTTTCGGTTGAAATCCAAGATCTTCAACGCCTCCCATACTTCCTTTGGGCCAAGCCGAAACGCGAGAGTTCCTCAGCTATCTCCATTTTTTGAAAATATGATACAGGTGCTGACCCCATATGAGTGTGAATTTTAATCGGGGACGCTTTGGTGGACATCATCTAGGTGGGGATTCATGTCCACTACTCACTTTTGAGGTGGCTCCCTATCTAAATTCACAGCCATATGAATTTCAACCCCAGGTTAGGTTATGGGGGTGGTTTTTGGCCCTCCAAAGTGATGAGTTCCCACTAAACCCAGGCACCCCCCCCCCCCCCCCGCAATAACAAACTGGGGTTGATCCCGCTAGGGTCCCTTCAAAAAAACGACGCACAAAAAGATCACCTTTTACATGCAGTTGAAATTTCTTATGGGGTCAGCACCTTTCAGGAACCCACCCAATTCACAACTAAAAAAAAAAAACGAGAAAAAAAAAAGAAAAAAAAAGAAGAAAAAAAAACAATTTCAGGAGCTCACCCAACTCACCAAGGAAGAAAAACGGACGTCTGCGCGACTTCGCCTTTTGTTTTTTCCGGGCTGTCGAGGTCCCTGGTCCGGCCCATTGGCTGGCCACTCTGCTGTGGGACCCTCACTTTCCGACTCGCGGCTTCGCTCGCTTCGGGCTGCGCTCGCTTCGGGCGGTCCGCGGATCCCCGGAATCCGCGGACGCCACAAAGGGCCCCCGCCAGCTTTCATGTTGGCCGCGGGGTTTGTTCGGAAAGGATGAGACTTCCCTGCGCATTCTTTGGGGTGAGGTGAGACACCAGATCTACCAGTCAGGAACTCTTTTCCTTATAATAGAGTTAAGAAACACCACAAAAGCGCAAATGGAAGGTGACATGCACAAATCTGTACAGACTGTCCACTGTGGCCAAAATCGGCTGGGCTCTGCCAAATGAATTCTCCACGTAAAGGAAGCCCTAATCTGTAAACCAATACACTGTAAGATACTGTCAGATGCTGTATCTGTAAGCCAAGCATTGTGCTAATAGCATTCAAGGAGGTACTATACTCAGTACTACCTCAGCTGCCCAAAGGATCTCTGATTAGGCTAACCGGCTGCGACCTTGACAATAAATGAACAAAGTTGGGAAACATAAAAGGTGAACACAAGCTAAACGACCTCTTCTTTCAGGCGAGCTACAGCTTTTCCAGCTGCTCATTTGCTCGCCCGCAGTCGCCTCCAAATTTAGGATCTCCCCACGCCACCAGCTGCCCATTTTGCAGCATAGCAGCAAAGGCACACTGCGTCGCCTAAGGTCGGGGGTCCAACAAACAGGACTTCCAAATCACCAGGTGCCAAACGGTTTTCTAAATAACCCAAGGGTGGCATGTCTTTGGCTTCACCTCTCCCCAGACCCCCGGTGGCCATGAGTAAACCTGATGGAAACCATGAACCCGAATGCAGATTAACTGCCCAAAGCTACCGTTGTGGGTCTGTCCCTGCCTATCCATTCACCTGCATGTTGCCTATTCTGTTGTCCTTCTGACTTCTGTATCTATCTGTCTGTCTGCCTATTCATCACTGCGTCTATGTTTTGTGCATCTGTTCATCTACTTGCGCATGTGTACATCTATGCCCCCTGTCTATTTATCTACCACTCCGTATCTAACCTAATATGACCTGATCTGACCTGTCTGTCTACTCTTCTGTCTATCTGCCTATCTATCTATTTAAGCCCCGGGCTGCCCGGTGCCAGCTGAGAAAGAGCCACCCCCAGCAAGGGATGCAACTAATTTCCAGGGCGATGCAGTGAGATTTCTGGCGCCAAAACATGCCAAAACGAGCGATTGTACGACAGGGCCAACGAACATTTCACTCACACAAACACTTGCACGCGACTGGCAAGCAGGACAGCTACCTCGAAACGACCACGTCTGAGACCTAAATCACAATGGCACGCAAACTCGCAGCCCTCCAGCGCCTGCGCAGCGAAACAACATGCAGATGACGCAAAAGCTACGATTTCTGCACGAGCGCAAGGAAGAAAACGTGCAAATCTCATGCATATTCTGCGCCCCTGCGAACGCTGGCGAACGCTGGCGAACGCTTGCGGACGCAGCGACGCATCTGGCGAACACATTGCTGACCGCCAGGGCTTTCTATACCGGGAACCCTTCTTGCTACTCGGGAAACAGGGCACCCAAAGAACCTCTCAAACCTGAAAAACTGCCATTTGCGTTTTCGCCCCATTGAAAAATATCTCCAGAAGTGATAGATTCCTTGAAAACCAACAGGGGCAAATAAAAAACATATTCTTATAAGCAAATGGAAGAAAAGCACACGCCACGCGGGGCACCCGTTCAGTGTTCCGCGCCTGGATCTGATGCACCTGCCTCAGCTGACGCTGCACCTGGCTGCTGTCCCCGCCGAATCGCTGGTCTCCCCAAGTGACCACGGTGCCATCCTCGCCGAAAAGCGCGCGAGTGCGACACAGCATCCACATGTTTGCTACACAGCCCCAAAATATGTCCAACATTGTCCAACCCACAAGCATCACCCGTGCCCAGGGAAACGTGCGCGGCCAGTGTGATGTGCGTGATGTGTGTGTGTGTAATGTCTGTGATGTGCGTGGCAGGTGTGATGCGCGTGATGTGTGTGTGTGTGTGTGCGCGTGATGTGTGTATGTGTGTGTGATGTGCGTGATGTGCTTGACGTGTGCAATGTGTGTGTGTATGCGATGTGTGCGATGTGTGTGTGTGTGATGTGTGTGTGAGTGATGTGTGTGATATGTGTGTGTGATGTGCGTGATGTGTGTATGTCTGTGTGCGTGATGTGTGTAATGTGTGTGATGTGCGTGACATGTGTAATGTGTGTGTGTGTATGCGATGCGTGCGATGTGTGTGTGTGTGTGCGTGTGATGTGTGTGTGTGTGAGTGATGTGTGTGATGTGTGTGTGTGTGTGCGCGATGTGTGTGATGTATTTGTGCTGTGCTTGTGTGGTGTGCGTGATGTGTGTTATGTGTATGTGTGTGCATGTGCATGTGCATGAGCATGTGTATGTGTATGTGTGTGTGTGCATGTGTGTGTGTGTGTATGTGTGTATGTGTGTGTGTCTGCGTGTGTGTTTGGTGTGTGTGTGTGTCTGTGTGTGTGTCTGTGTGTGTGTGCTGAGTCCCAGGTTTACCTGGGACCACCTCTCAGTTCATGCAGGGGGACCATCCATTTGCTGTGTGCGATGGTCCAGCGAAGCGGCCACAGCAAATGCGGATATCGAGGCTGATCGCCTCCACGTACCTGCGCAACATCAATCTATCAACAGAGCCGGTTTGTGTTGCGTGTTGCGCCATTGCTTTGCAGGGACCAGGGGCTCGATTGGTGATGCGTTCATTGTTGATTTTACAGTCTGAAGCCAACTCGAAATGAAGCAGTCGAGCCTGTCTCTCCTCTCCTATCTTGCGTGACTTACACGAATGTACCAAGCCACCCCTTGGGGTATTGAAGTGTGTTATCCCGAAAGGGGGGTCCTCGGGTCCGTTTTGCGGAGTTCAGGAACCTCAGTCGTTTCACCGTGACCTCAGTTCTACAAACCTCAGTTGTGTGACCTCAGCATCGTGACCTCAGTGTGATATGTTTCACACTCAAGGACAACAAGGCCGGGTTACCTCCTGCGTCACACGTGTTTTCCTCCCCCCCCTCCCCCCCCGCCCGTCCCCTTCCTCAATGTGCATCGTCTATGTCTTCCTGTTGACCGACTTCTGGCTCATCGCCCGTTTGGGATGGCTTCTCTTTCCTCCCATTCCCTTCTTCGCGCTTGTCGGCAACCGCGTGCTGGTCCTCTTCCTGTTCGCCCGTTGAGGGATGGCCTCTTTGTCTTCGAGTTCTTCGCCTTCGTCCTTGGCTTTTTCGTCCTGTTTGTAATCATGCCAGCGCTCTCCTTTTCTTCCCGCAGTTTGGCTTGACGTCTTCTACCTCTTCCGTTGACTCGTTGTGCACGTGCTCTTGGCCCCTTTGCGGGATGGCTTCTTCTTCTTGCTGGTCTTCTTCTTTCTCTCCATCGCCGTCGCCACTACATCCTGGGCCCCTTCTTTTGCCTGTCCCTGTTCTTGCCCTTTGCCCGCTTAGGGATGGCTTCCTCCTCTTCCGGCTCTTCAACTTCGGGGTGGTCTTCTTCTTCCAGGTTTAGGTCGGTCTTGCGCTGTTTCGGGTTCTTGCCCTCGGAGACCCTTAAACTGGTGTCCCCCTTTTTGCTTGTTTCTTGGTTGGGGTTTTGCCCGCGGAGACCCAATTCGGGGTTCCCTTTTTCGCTTTGTTTTGGCTTGTGTTTGCTCTGTTTCTTGTCTGTTGGGCCCTCGCCGCATGCAGGGGCGTGTGTGTGCTGAGTCCCAGACTTACCCTGGGACCACCTTTCAGTTCATGCAGGGGGACCATCCATTTGCTGTGTGCGATGATCCAACGAAGCGGCCGCAGCAAATGCGGATGTCGAGGCTGATCACCTCGACGTACCTTCACAACATCGTTCTATCGCTCTGTCTCTCCTCTCCTCTCTTGCATGACTTACACGAATGTACCAAACCCCCCTTGGGGTATTGAAGCGTGTGTCCGTGTCTGTGTGTGTGTGTGTCTCTGTCTCTCTGTCTCTCTGTCTCTCTGTCTCTCTGTGTCTCTGTGCCTCTGTGTCTCTGTGTCTCTGTGTCTCTGTGTCTCTGTGTGTCTGTGTCTCTGTGTCTCTGTGTCTCTGTGTCTCTGTGTCTCTGTGTCTCTGTGTCTCTGTGTCTCTGTGTCTCTGTGTCTCTGTGTCTCTGTGTCTCTGTGTCTCTGTGTGTCTGTGTGTCTGTGGGTCTGTGCGTCTGTGCGTCTGTGCGTCTGTGCGTCTGCGCGTCTGTGGTCTGTGTCTGTCTGCCTGTCTGCCTGTCTGCCTGTCTGCCTGTCTGCCTGTCTGCCTGTCTGCCTGTCTGGCTGTCTGCCTGTCTGCCTGTCTGTCTGTCTGTCTTGTCTGTCTGTCTGTGTGTGCGTGTCTGTGTGTGCGTGTTCGTGTTCGTGTTCGTGTTTGTGTTCGTGTTTGTGCTTGTATTGGTGTTCATTTTCGTGCTTGTGCTTGTGCTTATGTTTGTGATTGTGTTCGAAAGTTTTGGTGTGTGTGTGTGTGTGAGGGTGTGTGTGTGTGTCTGTGCGTCCGTGTGTCTGCGTGTCTGTGTGTGTGTGAAAGGAAAAGGAAAGTCATTCGCGCTGGTCCCCTATTTTGGCACTGCCCAAATGATTAGAATGGGGTGGCGGGGTACTGCATGAGCATGGGAAAGCTCCGTCGTAATTATCTAGCCCCTTGTATCACTCCGTTCCAAATTCACGGAGCAAACCGAACAAAGAAGTTGATTCTTTCACCAAAGAAGGATATTCCTGTAACATACCAGTGCAAGGGAGCAAACTTGGCAACAAACAGCTCTTGTTTCAGCATCAAGCCATCTCTCCCTTCCAACCAAATTGAACATGGTACCAGAAACAGTTCTTGAAGACGAAGACACCAACTCAAACACACGTTTGAACATTTTCACGGACTACCCTAGTCAAACTTGAGTGCACATTCACAAGTACAATTGCGGCATTTGAGAGGTTCTATTCAACTCGTTCCCCAAAACGGGGGGTTCATGGCCAGTTGTTTCCACCCTGCTCGCCGCATGTTCGCTTTTCGCGCTCCGAAAAAGAAGAAGAAAAAAACGAGAAACAAAAAATCACTCACCTGACTCACTCAGCCCTGCCTTCCGTAGGGCGGCGAAGGCTTGGGAGGTGGCCTGAATTTGCTGCACGCCCCACAGCTGGTGCTGCACCCAGAAGCTGTTGCCGCCTATGGCTCAAAATGAAACGATCGGAGGGGCAAACCGCAGGTTTTGGGTACCGGTTGCCACTTACCAGGGTTCCGCTACCACTTACCACTTACCACTTACCCATACTTTGGTGCCGGGGCAACCCATTTTTCCAGTACCAGATCCACAGAAACCCATTATTTAGGTCCACATTTCCACTTTTTCAGGCTTCCATCCAGTTTGGCCTTCCGCCTTCCCCGCGCCTCCGCGCTCGTCGCCCCAGGTGACCACCGAGCCGTCCACGCGGGTGGCCGCGAAGGCCAGCGTCGTCTTCTGAACGCTCACCTCGATGGCGGGGCGGCCGGCCCCATCGAAGAGGCCAGGCGGGGGGAGTCACAACCGGGGAGACCCAAAGATGAACATGAAACAGCTTGGAAATGGAAAATTATTTCATCCCAAAGTAGGTTGAAAGCAACGGTTTTGACCCGTATTTCCATGGTAAGAAGGGAGAGTTGGAATGAACCGAACCTGGGGGTCCCTGAATGAATGAGTTGAAAACCACCGGTGGGGTATGGTCCTTCTCAAAGTCGCAAGCCAGTTCTCATTCCCTGAGCATCAGCAAGAAACCCATGTAGTGGTTCTGTGATGTGGTTTTTTTGATACAGCTCAAGGGCTTTACTGCAGTCCCACCCTTGTGGTTTGCAGGTTCTAGAACCGCTAAAGCGGCCAATCGGTGTTTGGGGCGCTGCACACTTGGCGAGGAGTTGCTTATGGGAAAACCACATGCTTTGTCGCTCGAGTTTAAGGCAATCCCCCCAGAGCGACAAACCCACCTCCCACCCTTCCCAACAAAACAGGATCACCCGTTTTCGGGGGTGTGGACAAAAAAGGGACACCCACAAAAACGTGGGTAACCCGCGCCCCCCAACAGAACCTTTTGCTTGGGGGGGAGGCTTGATGCGGGTGCCTTGTCATGTTTGAGGGAACCCTTTTTGGGTTCAAAGGGACGCCGCCGTGAACACCCACCTTGGAGGCCAAATCTTGGCACCTCAAATCGGGCATTTCCCCCCCCCCCCCAAAAAAAAACAAATATGGGCGGTGCTGGCTGCTTTCCAAATGAATTTGTTTCAAGCTCTTTCCCTGACCCGCCAAGCCCAACGGATTTGGTCGGCGCCAAATCGCCCCAGAACTTTTCGCCCTGGCGCCACGTGGGTCAGGAAGGGCCGCACGGAGCGCGAGTCCCCGCCGGAGCCCGGGGAACCCCAGGTCACCACAGTGCCGTCCCAGCGAATGCCCGCGAAGGAGCGCAGTGTGGCCTGGATGTCCTGAAACGTGGGGTGTCTTGAACCGTTTTTGTATTAAAAAAGAAAAAGAAAAACAAAAGCCAAAACAAACAAACACGTTTTTGTAGGGCCCGCCAAAACAGAACACCTGGACCTGGCCTTTTTAAGTTCGCTTGGTTAGAAATAGATAGCACCGGCTTCTTTCAGGGGATCCCAGTTCCCCTCGTAGTAGGAAACCAGCTATTTTCCTTTTGGTTTGTAAAGGGTGGTTCCCTTGCTTTGGCGTCCTTTGAAATGTTACCGGTTTCTGTTGTTTTCCTTGTACAGGTCTGGGGCCCCAACCCCGTGGATAAAACATGGTTCTAACCACTGTGGTTCTGCAGCCTCCATTTGGGTATGGGTCAAAATTCAACCACCAGGGGACCGCAGGTTTTAGTCCATGTTTCCATTTTTGCCAGCGCAACCCATTTTAGGGTTACACTATTTTTGACCCACAGCCATTTGTTTTCCCTAGTGGCCAGGGTCCGGTTGCAACCCGAGGTAGAAAACGGTGAATCTTCCAGAGCCAAACGCAAAGAAGAAACGGGGCCCGTGTCTCGAAGCGCGGAGCAGGCCCCATTTTGAGAGCTGAGTCTTAAGATAGCCGCCCCATAAGCAAGCTTGCGGCTTGTTGTTGGGTTCCTTTCAAAACAACCACCAAAAGCTTGTATTCTCAAAAGGACGCATTCAGCAGGGCACATGGCCGGGCATATTCTATGTCTCAAAGAGCAGGCACCTTTCTAACCAGTGCAGTTGTTCCATCTCGCCACAAAACATGAAAGATCCAAAGACACGCTGTGGACTCACGTTCCTGGGCTGTCCGTTTTCTGATCGCTTGCCAAAAGCGACTAACTTCTCGTGGCTTAAATCCGAAACCAACTGGATGGCTGGGAGCTAAGGTTCTGTGACACGAAACAAAACACTCCTCCAGAGCTCTGCGACTCAACTTTGAAAACATGTGAGTACCTGTGCATGCACTGATAGGATGTTTCTCAAACTAGGAGACCACAAAAACGAGGTTTGTCTCTGATAATTTTCCTGTAGAAGAATCCATTCACAAAGGGGTACACCGTTTGAAGAAATCTCGAAATGGTGGGTTTACCTTTTGTATTGAGGTCGATCGAAGCTTACCCTCCCCTAGCCTAACATGGAAGCTCCCAGGACCCCGAAATGGAAGGCTTCGTTCCATTTACCGGATCGGCCTTCTGGGAGCCTTCCGGCCGTGAGTCTATGCTAGTCTGAGGGAGTGTAGAGAACAAAGTCTTTGTTTGCCACCAACATGGGCCAAACCCAAGGAGTTACTAACGAAACGGAACTCAAGTAGTGAGGCACACGATATGGCCATGAATCTTAATAGGGAACCATCTCACAAGCGGCTGGTGGACATTAATCCCGTCCAGCAAAGGGTCCCCCAATAGAATTCATGACCATATAACAAATATATGAAACCAACCCAGTCCTTGACTCCTTTCAGCTCCGACTCGTTATAGTGTATGTTGCCGTAGTCCAGTCCCCCCCAAACCACCACATCACCTGAGACCGAAGAGAGCGCCCCCGGCCAAAAGCCAATGGTGCGCCTCTTTTTTCCGAGGTAGACTTCTTGCGGCGGGAGTAAAGGGACGCCTACAAAAAACTGCTCATGCTGGGATTCCCTCATAAGACAACCCATACGTTGGACCCAGAAACCCAAAAAAATCAGGTTGAAAAGGAGATCAAATCGTAGGTTACAATACATGGGGCCTCAACAAATATCCGTGCTCTTGATTTCCAACAGCTAGTACTAGGACCATACTCGTTATGTTCGGAACCGCGAGATGGACATATCGGATGATGATTGAAGCGTGTGCGATTTACGTCAAATCAATCACCAAGCAAGCGGGACTCAGGACTTGCCTTAGTCTCAAGCTACAAGATTTCAAGCCAAGACTTGGGGGAGGAACTGCGTGTTGCACAAAGATCAAGAGGTCTGTCTCCAACTAAAATCGTAGAACGTGGCAACCTGAAACCGTCGCAACCCCACATGGCCATTGCCTCCGGAGCAGAAAACCAGAAAGGCTCATCCGCAACATGGGGCCCTGACAAAGCTGTTCTGCTCCGCCCTCTGATTCACGCAGAGACCGGGCCGAATGGGCGTGATCGGTGCTGCTCATTTGCTCCTTCCTGAAACCTCTGAAACAAACTGCACAAACACAACGACACTGGCAGAAACGAAAACACTGCAACACCTTACGACCCCTGAAGCCGACCAAAACCAAAAGAACGATCCCTGCAAACGACTGACTAATAAAACTAACTGCCTAGATCGCCAGTTGCTGGGTTCTTCAAATCAACTGTGGCTGTGTTTACGGCAAAGCGTCTGGAAAACACAACCCGCAACTTGGCGTTCTTGCCTCTTTCAATGAGTGCCCCTATGAATAGCCCCATCCCCACAAAGCCATCAACTACAAAAAATCCAATCCCCCACTTGGTCACAAACAAGAAAAACACACAAAAGCTGTTTCGCAGCCTGAGGGAAACAAACACCACGCCGTAACCACACATGGGCCATTTTGAGAAACCTGTGGGAAGGAGTGCAAAATGAAGGTGGATGGCGAGAAGGTAAGATAAGGGATAAGTATATTTCAAGCATACATGGGTAATCTTACAGTTATAGTATATCAGGGAAACAAACACCATGCCGCGAACACTGCCAACCTCGGCGGTCCCGGGGTCCCGGCCGTTGCCCAAGATGGCCGCGAAAGCCCCTTCGCTCGCCGCGATCTTCTCCACGTTGATCAGCCGGTGCTGCACCGCCGACGAGTCCCCGCCGGCTTCTTCGTTGCCCCAGGTCACCACATGGCCTGCGGAAGCGTTGTGCGTTTTTGAGCAGAGTTGTTGTTTGTTTTTGGATAGATGAACTTATGCCGTTGCTTATTTGGAGGTTTGTATTGGTGGCTTGAAATCACCTTGATGTATATTACTATATCGTCGCTTCCAAACGTCACCATTTTCTGCTTACCAGGCCGTCTTCCAGGATGGCGGCAAAGGCCGAGTCGGTGGCCGCGACTTCCTGAGCATGGCCGGAGTTGGGTTTTCAAAGTCTAAGATGGTTGCCTCATCCCAAAGGAGTCAACCTCTCAGTTGTTCAGTGACCCTGGAAAAAAGGAAACCCTTTTTTGGGAAGACCATTTTTAGTGGGTCAGCCACCAACAAAAAACGAAAGGAGTCCACTTGGAGAAATCTACCATACTCTACTAGCTCCTCCAGTAGTTTGAGGTTGGAATCAGTTGGTACCCGTGTGTGTTTTTTCCTTCTGTAGTCTGTTTTAGTAGAGGAACCCTCCCAACCAAAAAAGGGTAAAAGGGCACTACTGGGGGACCTAGCAAAGGAGTCCACTTGGAGAAATGTAATGTTGAACCCGGAATAATAACCCCCTGGTTGATTCATAGAAAAGTGTCCCATTTTAGTGGAGAATCATCACTTTTGGAGGGAACCCCCCTAATAATGGGACTGGTTTATTAATCCTGGGTCAACAGTACCGTACTCTGCCAAAGTCAAGACTCTACCAAACGCTACCAAACTCCGCGAATACCCAACTCGACCAAGAAAGTCCACTTGGCGAAACACTCACACACGACTCCATCCAAGTGAAGGTGAAGAGTAACAGATTGTGGGAAACAAAGGAGGCCAATAGGGCAAAGGAACAAACTGGCTGGACAAATGTGGCCAGGATTTGTGGATGGCTTCGCAAAGAAAACCTGTCCCAAATACCAAAGACAATAGCTGGTATTGAGAGAGAAACTCGCCGAACATGAAGACCACAGTTAACGAAAATCACTTCAGACTTGTTTCAAGAACAATCATTCCAAGATAAGGGAATTAGTTGACAAGTTGATGCATTGAATCCAACATAACGGAATTACAGGAGTGGATTTAAAAGACATTCAGTTAATGACAAGAACACACCACTGATTTGACTGGGAAGCTCATCCAACATGAAGGAACTAGGTGACAATGATGGATACATTTACTTCGAGGGGAGGTCCGTCTAGCATTGAGTTGTTTCATAGAGCAAACATGATGTTCATCCAACAACAGGAGGAAGGGGCCGATGAACCCAACATTTCCACTGATTTGAAAAAAGAAGAAGCCATTCCACGCAAACGGGCAGATGAACCAAACATGTCCACATATTTCCACTGATTTGAAGAAAGAAGAAGCCATTCCACGCAAAGATCTTGACAGTGGAGCGTCTTGCAGCTGAGTTGCCCTGACGCGCGCCTTTGGGGGCAGATCCACGATGCAGTCGCCCCCATACTCGGGGTCGCCCCAGGAAAGAACCGTGCGATCCCCCAAAATCGCCGCGAAGGCCCGGCCGCTCGCCTCCAGCGACGCAGCGACTCACTGGCCGGTTTCTTCTGATCCCCGGCTGAAAAAGTGAGGCACTGGTGGGTGAAGGGGAAACTACCACGAAGCCAACCTAAGAAGATCTAAACAGCGAAGGAGCCGGGTGGCTAACCACCAAGTCAAGTTGGCTTCTGCTGGTTGCTTGACGGCTGCTTTGGCCAACGTAAGTCTGCAGGTTAGTGGGATATGTGTTGGTGTTGAGCAAAAAGTTAAAGAGAACCCAAAGATCCAAGCTTTCAACCGCGCAGCTAAATCCTCAAACCACCAAACCAAACCACCAACGCGTTACCCGAAAGGCCAGGTGGTATCCCAACAGCAACCCGCGGAACCTTTCGAGAACCCTGGCCCGCATCCGCAAACCACTCTCAAGCTTATTCGGTCAGAGACCTGATAGCTTTCAACTGTTGGGGAAAACAAAAACCAAATGGCGCTCCTTCAAAACGGTTTTATCAAGCCAAAATAGCATGAGGTTCAAGGGCAACATGCCATGCTTGTCTCCGAAGGAAAACAATCACAAGTGGAAGAGGGGACATCCGTGAATTTCCACGACAATGAGTCCCCCCCCCAAAAAAAAACACACAAAAACACAATAAATAACACCAACAAAACAAAACCTTTGAAGAGGTGCCAACTCCTTTAGGACACGCCAACTCCTTTCTTCTCGTTTCCCTGAAACGTCTCTCTTAGGATTTCGCCTGGATGGCTTGGACATCCACCAGCAGGTGTTGCAGCTCCTGGCCGCGAGGTATCCCATCTCCAGTTTGGGCGACCGCCTTTTCACCGTTCTTTTCACCTGTGGCCACAATGAAAACCCGGCAGTAACATGGTCTAGCCAGAACCATGCTTCAAGAACTAAGAAGGCGGATATCCGCAGCTATTTATGGCTGGGATTGGCCCTTACGAACCTTCATCTACCCGGGTTTTGATTGTGGCTCACCTGGGTTCTTTACTCGGTTGCTTTCTGCTCCCCTACAAGTTTTCAACTTTTAGTCCTAACATCCAAGCAACATGCACCAAAGTTCAAAACCAGAACCTAAATCAGTCGGGAGCCTCTGGGTGGGCTCTTTATGAGTGTGTCTTTTTTTGAGGGTACCCATTTGGTGGATGTTTTCAAGGGGCCCAAAGGACTGCCACGATTCTTGGGGGTACAGTGCCCATATTGTTTGACACATGCATACCTATGTTCAGTGGAAGTCCTGAGAAGTTCGCCGACATAAAAAAGGTGTTTTGCAGTCCTGATTTCTAGTTCGTGGAAGTTGATCCTATGCCAGAAACTCAGATACGGGACAATGACAAGGATAAAATTATTCGTGGTTGGTTACATGCAGTCATTGGGAACTAAAACACACAAAACACATCTCAGCATTGCTTTGTCACATGTCAATATTATATTTCTTCAAACAAATCCAGAAATTTCATGGATAATTCAAAATGTCTGGCGGTTGTCTGAAGGCCTGGACAGTCCTACAACTCAATGTGGGCATCCAAGAAAAACCAACATCGTGCTTCGTTTGGGTTCAAGGCTCAAGATGCTAGATTCCCCAGGAATATGTTTCTCAGTTTGCTGAATCTTAATCCAGGAAAACCCAACTTACACCGGCTTTGGGAAGGGCCAAGTTGCGCTGGGTAAGTACGTTGCTGCAATGTGTTGTCCAAACTACAGTGCCTTGCTGCATGTTCTTTGCTGAGGAAGTGGCAAGGTTTTGACAGATCTGAAGATTAGTCAGGCAGTACGTCCAAACGAACCTTCTGGCTAGTTAGCTTGCTTTTCTCCGCATGTGAGCTCTTCTACAGAGTTGTTTGTTGTTGTCCAGCAATCCTTGCAAAGAGTGTGGACCGTCAGGGCCGCACATACATGCATGTACATATATATATATATATACACATATAGATATATATATATATATACATATATATACACATACATCATAGATTCCGTGGTGGGTAGGGGTCAATAGCTTTAACTTGGATTATATATATATATATATATGTTTATTATGTATTTAATAATCTATTTATTTATAAACATATACACAAAAACCAGGGTTCCCTTCAAAGGGCACAAGGGCAGGGCAACTGGCCCCTTCTTCCACAAATGGTCAAGGAAATTATTCGGCTATATTTAGTACTGCTATACAGTCATATTGTGGCAACAAAGTCTGCATGCCTCCAGAACCGGTGCCTGAATAGGTCCCAAAAGTGGCCTCCTTTTCGTCTGCCAAGGCAAAGCTCAGAGAAAACAAAAGCAACCACACCCATTTGGCCCTCCTAGCCCAGTGCAATGCAACACAATCCTGAGTCCTTTTGGACAAATATATGGCACTTGGAGATGAATAGACACAAATGTAAATCAATGCCATGAATGTTAAACCAAACTGACCCAAAAGGACACAAATGCCAACAAAGATTGAGCCTTGTTTCTCGAGGTTACCCCAAACGGGGTTTGGCTTCCCCCCCCCCCCAAGAAAGAAAAAAAAACGGCCGCTGGCCACCCGCAGCCAAGCCCTGAGCCCACGCACCTCGCGCCTCGCAGTCCCCGCCGAAAGCGCGATCACCCCAGCAGACCACGGAGCCATCCGCCAGGAGTGCTACGAAGGCCTCCTCGTTGGATTGGATCTTCTGCACCTCCCAGAAGAGGTCCTCCACCTGCGAAGCCAGGAATGGTCCTCCAGTAGAGAGAGCTTAGAATAAGTTGGTACCTGATGATCTTTTGGTTTTGTCTATTTTAGTAGGGGAACCCTCCCAACCAAAAAAGAAACGGTAAAAGGGCCCTACTTAGGGCCTAGAACAAGAATTTGAGACAAAAGCACTTGCTCGGGTTTGAAAAGGAACCAGCTAAAAGGAAAGACATGGCCAGCCCACAATGGGGTTGAATCTTTGTTAAAACAGGAATCACCTAAAAAGAACAAAGAGATTTGGACCCACAAAACAACAGGTGCGGCTGGTTTTGGCGAAACCATAAGACCACCCAGAGAAAGCCATGGCAAACTACCTGGGTTACCCCAAAATGAGAACTGAGATAGGCAAAGAAACCGGTTTTGCTTGGAAACCCAAAGGGAAACCGACCAGTTTTCAATTTTTATGAAGGGTTCCTTCACCTGAGGCCACCGTGATGGGACACCTAGCCCAAAGATATTCATCCATTTTCCGGAGTCGCCAACTGACGGGCGCAAACCCCATTCTTTATTTTTTTCTTTCTTTCTTTCTTTTGACTGGACATGTCCACCGAACCTCTGGCCAAAGAGCCAGGTCTTAGGTGTTCGGTTCGGCGAAGTCGCCCTTAGGACTTGTAAAATGAAAGGAACTAGTTGTCAGCTCCCCTGGCTCCAACTTTGTCAGCTCCCCTGGCTCTTTCTCTCGGAAAAGCCTGCAAAAGTGAAGCCCAAGGGCAGCTTGTCAAAGGCAAAAGAAAGAGGGGGTGGCCGGGGAGGCTGGGAAGCAGTTCTAAGTACTAAGCTCGGTCCCAATGGCAAAAGTGAAGCCCAAGGGCACGCAACTGTCAAACTGTCAAACCGATTGGTGGTTCCGAACGGCGAAGGCTCGTTCGCTCCTTTGCCGATGGGAAACGAATCCATGGATGTCTGGGGGCTCCAAATCCCAGTCGCCACGTTGAAATGGTCTTTATTCATATACCGTTTGGTCTTCAAGATCAAAGATCTTAGAATCAACAGGAACACATTCGGTAATCAAGCGAGTTGCAAGACTTGGAAATGTAGAATATATAAGCCTAGATTTTGAAAGAATGATCAAAACAACACAATATTGTTTTACCGCATGAAAGGTTCACCACAACTGCCTCAACGTGGTTTTAGAAAACAAACAAACTAAAACATAATGATTGAACATTGACATGATTGAATCGGTTTTAGAAATGCAAACAACTCACTGTTAAAACCATGTTTTCATGGGCCTACATTTCCACAATTCTAGTGCCAAGGTGAGTCACAATCAAAACCCGGTAGTAACATGGTCTAGCCAAAACCATGTAAAGAATTAAGAAGGCGGCCGCAACTATTTCTGGCTGGGACTGCCCCTTGTTAACCTTCATCTGCCCGGGTTTTGAGCAAGTGGCAAAAGGGTGAATACATGTAGCACACCTTATCCGCAGTGACTCCTAGGTGTTTGGTGTTTGGGGCGCTCTGCCAACTTGATTTTGCGGCCCCCCGGAGCCCCGGTCATTTAGGTGGTGGGTCCAAAAAATATGTACCCATGGCTTGCCCGATGGAATGGACCAAACCAGCCGATTCCTGGGTTCATTTCGACCCACATCAGAGTTAGGCCCAGTTGTAGAATGTATACTTTCTTGCTTGCTTCACATGGAGTCACTGGTAAAATGTAAAACGTATCCTAAGTCTACCCCAGAAACAAAGAGATTTGGACCCACAAAACAACGGTTGTGGCTTGTTTTGGCGAAACCAATAAAACCACCCAAAGAAAGCCAGTCATTTTGGGGCTCTCCATGGAAAACTACCTGGGTGACCCCAAAATGAGAACTGAGATAGACAAGGAAACCGGTCCTGAAAAACCCAAAGGGAAACCACCAGTCTTGAAATCTTTGAAGGGTTCCACCTCAAACCTGGACGCTTCGTCCGGCCTCCTTGCTGCTGCCCCCGGAGTTCTTGTCCCCCCAGGTCACCACGTAGCCATCCGCGCAAATGGCCGCGAAGGCCCCGTCCGTGGCGGCGATGGCAACCACCTGCTGCAGCTCGTCGGAGAGGGGCGAAGCGTCCCCGCCCCAGCGCCTCAAAGGAGTCGCTCTGGACTTTTTGGGGTTCCATGTGTTAACAGAGGCGTCCTTTTAGAGGAAATAAATGGGTTTCCCTGGTAGATGATTAAACAAACCAGGGCCATCTATTTGTCTACCAAAACAACCGAAAAGGACACCTATGTGTGTTAACCTGTAGGAAGATGTGGCAAAATACCCTGAGTCGCAATCAAGATCTGGTGTGAACCTGCATCCCATGTTCATGTGGTCATGGTTTCGCGTGGCCCATGTGAGTCCCTGTCAAACCTGGCATTAAAGACATTTAGTTTGGGACACTCCCAAAACACGGCAACGAGGTGGACACCATCTTGGAGCTTAAGACACCGGCCGGTTCTGTTTTTTGAGAGTTGCCTCGTTTGATGCTTGGTCAAACATCCATTTTAGGGGTCCCCCAGTTTGAGACACAGGCCATCAATCAGAACCCCTTGGGTTCCCTTTGCGTGGGTTTAGGAAAGCCTCGTGTGGGGTGGGTGTTCCATGATTTCAAGGGTGGATCACACGGAAGGAGCAGGTTCCAGAATTCCACTGAGCCAAGTGACCCGAAGGGGTTTCTTTTTTGATTCTCGGTGAAGCCAACCTAAAAAGGCTTCCCCCAAAACAAAAGCACACCCACACTGCAAGAGAGGTTGGCATGATTGCTGATCAGGTAGGGATGGGTGACAGCGTCAGCCATAGGTGCAGATATCCACCCTTTCAAAGCTTTAACATGGGTGCGCGTAGACCTTAAGTTAAACCAAACACACCGGGAAGACTCAAATCTCTCAACCCCTCCAAAATCAATCGCCCCCAAAAAAGGTACCATCAACAGGCCAGCTGGAGTCTCCATGACCCTTTAAGTATGTTCTCCTTTTTGGGTACACTGCCCTCCTTTTTGGGTCCATGCCCAAAACCCCCCCCCCGTTCCCATGTTCCTGGCCCAGCTGGAGACGTCTGGCACGTCTGGCTTGCCGAGCGGCGCGTGTCCCCAGGTCACGACGGTGCCGTTGCTATGCAGAGCGAAGGCTCGAGCGGAGGCCGCGAGACTCGCGGGCTGCGCCACGGCGACCACGGAATCCCCCTCCTGCAAACCGCTTTCCTGCAGGGTTAACGTTGGAGTGCACCCAAAAAACGCGCCAGCCGGGGAAAAGGTTACGAGCTCCCCGCTTTGGGCGGACTTGTAACAAATCACCGAAAACGTGGGGTGGAATCATCATTGAGCTTCCTTCGTGTGGTGTAAATTTGGGAAAGCGGACACATTGGCCTGCAAAAAGATGTCAGACCGTCATGGGAAAAGTGAATCAGGCAGCCATGAACGATTGTATGTAAAGTGACCCCCAGGGAGGGCGTTTGATCACGGGAGCCTGGCAGTTGTTGGAAACTCTCGCAGTTCAGTTGGCAAGACACAGGACCTTCTTTTTTTGCGAAAGCTTCATAGCTGTGACCATCCTCGACACGGCCAAGCCCGAGACATGTTTCCCCTAAGTTGCAGGTATAGCTATTCTTTGAAGGAAAGAAACGATCTGAATCATGAGCCTCAACCCGGCTGTGAAAATGCCCAAGAACATGGTCCCCAAGTGCAAGTTTGCCACCAATCCTCCAACGTGCAAGCCAGGTCCAGCTCCTTGCCATTGCAGACAAGCCTCAGGAACCTGCAGCCAACTCCAACGTGAACTCTCTGGTTGACAGCGAGTATGAAGCAAAGCCAAGCCAAACAGGCAAAACATGGCCAAAAAGAATGGCAAATCCCAACAACTAGGTTTTCCAGTAGAGAGGTTAGAATAAGGCTACCCTTTCTTTTTTCTGTAGTCATTTTTACTAGGGGCAACTCTCCGGGGTAAAAGGGCACTACTGGGGGGGACCCAGAAAAGCAATGGCAAGACACAAAACGAACATGACAAACAAGACAAGCGAAACCAAAAATGGCCAAGCTAAGTCTGGGTATGGCGCCGGCGCTGCAGTTGCTGCTGCGCAGCCAACTTCAGCTCGCTCACGCGGTGCTCGGGAGAGAGCTTCACGCAAACGGTCGTGCCGCTCGGCAAGGACACATCGATACGCATGGCGATCCGAGCGGATCGATCTCCCACACAGCCGGTGTGCCAGGAAGAGTTGCTCAAGCCAGGCGGTGCGTTAAGCAAAAAGCGATGTGGCTGGTTAAAGTTGTGCCAGTTGCATGAACTGATATCTGGAGGCTGCAAATCTGCCATGTCTGTGACTGATGGCACCTCGCAGGCGCAAGAACTGCATGGCCTAAAGCTACGGAAACATTTCGAATGGCCGGACTGCAGGTCACAACACATCAAGCGTCAGCGGTTTGGAACCCTTCTCATATTCAGTTGAATCCCTCCGGCTGATTTCCCTTCAGAATCTATCCAAAAGCGAAGCTTTATGGTTCATTTGGCCATGGGTCACGAGCCCGTACCCCCAGTGAACATCCCAATCCCCACTAAAATAGGTTCTAAAACGGGTGCTGAATTCACCTACCAACCAAAATGGGATCCCAAAACGGTTTTGACAACCATAGCCATTTTGAGACAGACTCGAATCGCTTGAAGCATCCAATCGCTTGAAGGCGCTGAGCGAGCTGCGCTGTTGACATCTGTGCAGAAGGCTGTCCTGGACAAGCCCGACCTCAGCTAAGGATTCCATGCGCCCGGCTTTGAACACTCCACAGGTGGCATGCTTCGAACGCAGCCACCGTTTTTAGGAAAGCTCGCGATTAAACTAAGGAAGGGTATCCACTGAATCATCTGAATTACAAAACACCACTAAAGAAGGGCATGCACGAACAATATCCACTGAATCATCTGACCAAATTAAAAACCCACTGGAATTCAATACCTTAAAACACGTAGAACCCACCGGAATCCAATACCAACAAAACATAGAACCCCGCTGGAATCCAATACTAACAAAAACATAGCTCACTGGAATCCAATACTAAAAAACATAGAAGCACACGGGAATCAAATACTAACAAAAACATATAGAAGCCCACTGAAATCCAATACGCAAAAATGCATACAAGCCTGCTGGAATCCAATACACAAAAAAGCATACAAGCCCACTGGAATCCACTACTAAAAAAACATAAGCCCACTGGAAACCAATACTAAAAAAACATAAGCCAACTGGAATCCATTAAAAAAAGAAGAAGCCCACTGGAGTCCAATACCAACAAAACAAAGAAGCTGACTGGAATCCAACTGGAATGTAATATAAAAACACATAGAAGCCCACTGGAATGTAATACAAAAAACATAGAAGCCCACTGGCATGTAATACAAAGAAACATAGAAGCCAACTGGAATCCAATACAAAAAAACATAGAAGCCCACCGGAATGTAATACAAAAAACATACAAGCCCACTGGAATGTAATATAAAGAAAACATAGAAGCCCACTGGAATGTAATACCAAAAAACATACAAGCCCACTGGAATGTAATACAAAAACATACAAGCCCACTGGAATGTAATACAAAAGCATACAAGCACACTGGAATGTAATACAACAAAAACATACATGCCCACTGGCATGTAATACAAAAAAACATAGAAGCCCACTGGAATCCAATACTAAAAGAAAGCCCACTGGAATGTAATACAAAAAACACACAAGCCCACTGGAATGTAATACAACAACATACAAGCCCACTGGAATGTAATACAACACAAAACATACAAGCCCACTGGCATGTAATACAAAAAAACATAGAAGCCCACTGGAATCCAATACTAAAAAAAGCCCACTGGAATGTAATACAAAAAACATAGAAGCCCACTGGAATCCAATACAAAAAAACATAGAAGCCCACTGGAATGTAATACAAAAACATACAAGCCCACTGGAATGTAATATAAAGAAAACATAGAAGCCCAATGGAATGTAACACCAAAAACATACAAGCCCACTGGAATGTAATACAAAAAACATAGAAGCCCACTGGAATGTAATACAAAAAACATAGAAGCCCACTGGAATGTAATACCAACAAACATACAAGCCCACTGGAATGTAATACATCGTGTTCAAGCAAATAACAAAATCATTTGCTTGAAAGCAAAAAAGCAGAAAGGGTAGTTCTGAAGTACGGACTTCAAGCTGTACACCACCATGAGGCACCTAATTATGCCATGATGTTCGTTGCGCCATCGTGTTCAAGCAAATAACAAAATCATTTGCTTGAAAACAAAAAAGCAAAAAGGGCGGTTATGAAGTACAGACTTCAGGCTGTACACCACCATGAGGCACCTAATTATGCCATGATGTTCGTTGTGCCATCGTGTTGCTTGAGTCAAAACTTCCAGCCAGAACAATACCGCCATACCTGTATCAAAACTGTTCAGTGGCTTCCAAGTCGTGTCTGCGCATCTAAGTAGCCATCTCATTGAGGTCTTCGTCATTCTCCTCCACGTGCAGACCTGTTGATCTCGCGCCAGACGACAACGGCATGGCACTTCCGCTATTGCCAGCAGAATGCCCGCTGCCTCTGCTATGGACCATGGCACGCTTGCACATGTTTCCAATAGCGAAGAGGTGCTGGTGTCCACAAGCAGTCGTTACCTTCATGGTGCTACCTGTCTTCACGAAAACAAATCCCTTGGCAGTTGCCTTAAGAGACTTGTCTGCCTGGAGCTCCAGAAGCTCCTTTGCCAGTTCAGAAGTGACAAAAGGCTCTTGTCCCATTCAATCTTCGCATTCTGCGATGCCACATCCTGTCACATTCTTGTTGCAGCAGATCTGCATCTTGTTGCCGTCGCAGAAGTGCATATAGCACGAATGCATGGTGCAACCAGAGCGAGCATGATTTCCGCGGTGCAAAGAGTGTCCACGGGACTCGTGATATCCACGACGGTCGTGGTGGTTGCGGTGGTCATGATATCCACGATGCTCATGATATCCGTGATGCTTGTGATGCCCGCGATGCTCCTGATACCCGCGATGCTGGCGCTGTCGCACAGAGTTGCTTCGCCGGTGGCTGCTCTCGCTCCTCCTTGGCTTGAAGTTCCCGGGCAATGCTGATCGGTGAGCAATATCCCTTAGCATATGCAGAGAGACATTTGCCAAAGCGTCCTGCCTCCTATCATCACGAAAGGCGCGTCGCTGCTGAGGCAAAGAGCTCTCGCGTTGTTCACTTCTTTCCGCTCTAAAGTTCTGTTTGGAGGGTTTTATTGTCAAAGGCAAGAGCAGGGACAGGGGCACGAGATGATCCTGGCATTGCAAAAAGCTTGCAAGATTGCAACGTGTATCAATAGCGTAATGCTATATCACCTTGGGCAATAATGCCCGGTAATAGATTTATTACATTGAAAAAGATATGTTATTGATTGTTCATTTTAATTGTTTAAACCATAATATAATTAACTTTAACATTATTCTTTAAACAGTCTTTTTATTTTCATTATGTTTGTTGTTGTGTTTTTTTTTTTTTTTTTTTTTTTTTTTATCTTTAATATTATTATATTTGTCTAATGGATTTAATATGATAAAAATGTATCATCTAATATATCATAATTAATACAAATATAACTAACATTCATTAACAATATTATTGTTTCAAAACTAACTTTAGCATTATCATATATCATATTCTTTATATTATCTATAATTCCTGTAGTTTTATAATGATATATCTCTTAATAAATCATTGTTTATTGAATTTATACCATTGCAATAACGAATCAAACATATCAATTTCATTTATAATTTCAAAAATTAAATGACAACACTTTATTGAAATACTTTTGAAAATATATTTCAACAATATGTGGAATAAATCTAAAAAGTTCATTTATAATATGATATTTACTTTTAGCCAAACAATTATTTTGTGGTATTGTCATAATAAACTTATTGTGCATACGTACACACAAATTAAAATATATTAATAGGTTTATATATTTGTGAATTATTATTATGTTTTAAATATCTCATATAATAATACTTATTTATACCTTTAGAATATAACTGATAAATATGATTTCAAAAATTGTTTTAAAAGAACTTAAATATAAATATTATTTATTTAAATTGTTTAAATATTTTTTGTTTTAATAACAATGTCATTATCTAAATAACATGTGTCAATTTTTATGA